TGGAGTGGAGAGGAGGTGAAGGCGCGGGGAACCAGGCTGGCTGTAGAGAAAATGAGAGGCGCGAGGGAAGAGCCCAGGACTCAGGACCCAGAGAGGCTTGACTTGTTCTGCTTTTTAAGGGGAGCTACTCGGTGGAAGGTGCGAGGGGGTTGAAGGTGCAGTGGAGAGGTTCTGTCAGGCACGGGGACCTCAGCTCTCAGGGTGAACCTGTCCAAGAGCCCTGACTCACCTCTGCTCCATGCCCACGGCTGCTGGAGGGGGCTCCCATCACTGGCCCTCCAGGGGCCAGGCTGGAGTGGCCGCCTGGAATAACACGCCTGGCTGTGCTGAGGAGAGCACCCTGGAGGGCCCTGCATGGCTAGTCAATGCTCTGGCCTGGAAGTGATGCTTCTCTCCCCTCACTGGCCTGAGCTGCTCACACGGCCCCGCTGGTCACAGAATCTGGAAGCGCGATCCCGTCGGGTGCCCAGAAAGGGCCACGTGTTGGCGAGGCTCACTCGTGACTACCCGAGATGGGGAACTGAGGGAGCAAGCTTGAGAAGAGTTGGAATCTAGGGTAACACCCCCCCCCCCCCACACACACGACAGGAGTGTATGAGTTTCCTACTGCTGCTGTGACAGATGATCACTAACTTTGTGGCTTAAAGACAAATGTATTATTCCGTCAGCTCAGCTGTTTTTTCTGCTCTGGGTCTCACAAGGCCAAAGTCCAGCTGCTGGCTCGTTAGGCTCCCTTCAGGAGGTCTGGGAAGGATCCACTTCCAAATACAGCTGACCCTTGAACAACAGGCCTGGACTGCGTGCGTCCACTTGCAGGTGGGTATTTTCCAACAGTAAACACTGCAGAACTACACGATGCGCGGCTGGTTGAATCCTTGGATGTGGGACTGAGTGTATGAAGGGCCACAGGGCCGGCTGTAAGTCACTCAGGGGTCTTCACCTGCACAGGTGGGCGGCGCCCCTAACCCGTGGTGTTCAAGGACCAAGTGTGCACCCCAGTTTTTGCCACAGCCGTCCCCTGCAGTTTGGGACCGAGGCCCCGTTTCCTTCCTCGGCCCCTTCAGGCCTGTCTTCAGGGCCTGCACACGGTCCCTGCATCTCAGGGCCAGCAGGGGGGCATCCAGTCCTTCGCGCCTGCACCTTCCGTGACCACGAAGGGCTCCTGTGATATCACGGGGCTCACCTGCATCACCTCCCTCTCTTAAGGTCAGCTGACTAGTACTTCATGCCATCTGCAAAGTCCCTTCACAGCAGCACCTACATCAGCGTGACTGGATGACTGCATAACCAGACTGAACCCTGGTTTGGAATCCTGCCTGCCACCGGGAGGGGGGTGGAGGGGCTGGCCAGATGACCATGGGTGCGAGCACAGAGGCCGGAAGTTCACACTATCAGCTTCAACCGCCCTTGAAACGGGTCAGGATCATACAATAAGTCTTGGTAAGTGCAGATTTTCAGCGCTGTATAAACGAGTTTATTTCAACGAGTGAATGGTGCAAACTACGCAGCGTCTCTTGGCAATGACCGGCATATCGTGAGGATTTCAGGTGCTAATGCAGTAATTCTCAAATGTTTTGATCTCAAGATCCCTGTATGCGCTTAAAAACTTATTGAGGACCCTCCCCCCTCCTCCCAAGAGCTTATGTTTTTGTCAGTTACACCCGTTGGCATTTAGTGTTAGAAAATAAAACTAAAAAATTAAGGCAAATATTTATTTTAAAATAATGAACACACGTTAATATACACTTTTTGTAGTTTCCAAAACAAAAGAAGAGTGGCGTTGTTTTCCACTTCTGCAAATCTCCTCGATGTCTCTCTTAGCAGAGGACAGTGGGTTCTCACATCTGCTTCTAACAACACATTCAATTCAGTGCAGTGTAGAGTCTGGCCACATCGATATGTTCAGTAGTTGGAAAACAGTGCATATTCTGTTTTAGTCTCTTCCAAAACAGAACAAGTGGTAGTTTCAATCAACTTTTCATTCTGTTACGTTGGTCCACCTACACAAGAACGAGACCGTAATATACTGATGATTGGAAAACACTAGCTTACTGAGCCACGCACAAATACCATCAGTCGTTGCTGGCGGGGGTGGGGGGAGAAAGAGGGAGACTCCAGAGACCCTCCCGGAGCCACTGAGGACACAGTGAGCAGGTGGCTGCCGCCTACAAGCACTCACACCAGACACCAGACCCGTCGGCACCTTGATCTTGGACCGCCAGCCTCCAGAACTGTGTTGTCTAAGCCACCCGGACTACGGTACTTTTGTTGTAGGTGTTCCACTGAAGTGACAGGGTCACAATTCGTTTCTGAGCAGCCGTCTGTCACGCAGACGTGTGAGTAACCGGCTGTCAGTCACATTTAAATAAAGACGGTGTCCACAGGGAGGGGCCAGTCCAGCTGAGGCGGCTGCCATGCCCGTTACGTGAGGTGCTTCACACACTTGCTGTGTCGAGCGAGCACCGAGACACCGTTGTACTCAGGGGCCGAAGTCTAATGACTCAGTGGCTGGCACTGCTTCGAGGTCACCCTTCAGTGGCAGCAGCTTTCTAAGTGGGTGGTGGTGAGGAATACAGCTTCTAGCACCACCACCCGATCCCTACTCACGAGTTTTACCCGTCACTGCTTTTGCACCATCAGTGCACCTGTCAACACGGTGAAAATGGCAAATCAGCTCTTAGAAACTACTGTTGACCTCACAGCCCCTTGAAAACCGCTGTTATCACCTACGTAAGACGTTACAACAGCATTCAGGACCCAGCATGTTCCAGGTGCCCTCGCTGCTGCCACTGCGTTCCCCCAACGCTCCCCAAGGAGCCACCTGTCTTTGGTGCCCTCCTTCCTGGCACTTCAGATGACCGGCGTCTGCCCGGCTACCCCCAAGAAGCACCTGAAATGCAGAAACACTTCTCCACGCCTAGTAGTACTTCAATTATTTGTTACTTCGTTACTCCCATTCCCCCCCCCCCCCGCCCCCTTTAGTGGAGCTGTTTCACGACGAACAAAGAAAGGAAGGATTAAAGACATTCGGTCACACACAACCCACTAGCCTCTCAGCCCCTGCAGAAGCGTCTGTATTTCTGAGTGGTTGCTTATAATTAAAGACCAGGCCACCTAACAAACATTGAATAGGGAATTCCCTGGTGGCCCAGTGCTAGGCTTGGCGCCTTCACTGCTGGGGCCCGGGCTCGATCCCCGGTCGGGAACTAAGATCCCGTAAGCTGCACGGTGCAGCCAAAAAACAAAACAAACTAAAGGACAAACAAACGAACAAAAACACTGAATAAAGCCGCAAGTGCAGGAACTGGGAATCAACAGGACAATGCTGGGCCCTGCGTGGGAATCCGGCTTCAGGGTCAAGTGCCTTCACTGCTCTTGATACACACAGGATGAGGTGTGTGCTCTTGATACACACGGGGTCGGCTACAATACAAGGGATATAAACTCGACCAGCCATTTGAACTGGAAGATAGAAGGTAACATGGTGCCCTGAAGGGGTGCTTTTACCGGAAAAAATCAAAAGCTTGTGAAACAACATGTGTACGAGTTTGTTCATAGCCACATAGTTTCTCTCAACCAAAACCAGCAGAAGCATCTGTGAGGTCCATTCTTTGGAGGAGTGGTTTCGTAGCTCTTTTCATTCAACCACAAACCCCTTCTTGTGAGACTGGTCCAAAGCAAGTTGCTGTATGTTCTTTATAGGCTAGAATCCACCCTTGTAAATCAACTCACCTGAACTACTAGGTCAAGACATTTATCTAAGTGGGTCTAAGTCTGACATGATCCCAAACTTGACGCATTCTGACGCTGCACCCAGAAAGCAACAGTGTAAGTGATGATAGTGTCACTTCACAATCCATTTCATGATGAAATGTGTACCAGGTTGTATATTCATTAGGATGAATGATATTGGCGCTTACTACTACGCTGCCTAGCGAAACCACCAATGCATTAACGTAGAGAAAACACAACGACCCAATAGATAGGACTGGTCAGCACCCAGGTCCCCAGGAGAAGGAACCCTGGATCGTTTCCTAATTCTATGGAACCTGACTGGTCCAAATCCTCTCCCCCTGGTGGCACAAGAGTGAACTTTATCATCACAATTCTCTAAGAAACATCCTTTTAGAGAACCAAACAAGCCAATGGGGAGAGGGGAACTCTCGAGTTAAGACTGCCAGGGTTTGACTAAGCTCTACCATGTACTGGCCAGAAGAGGCTGGCAGATGATCAAAACTCACCTGTAGGATGGGAATAACAAGAAAACTGTCTCCTTTACAAGGTGGTGAGAACAGGTAAAGTTCTCAGAACACACCTTGGCCTTTGGTAAGGGCTATGTCACTGTTAGCCAGTATTATTTTAATAAGCAGAATTAATTCAATACCAATCTACTCATACATGGTCATTGCAAGGTATTTCCTCCCACTTAACCCATTTTTCTACATTTCACTCTAACCTCCACTTGTTCTGTTCCTCTGATAAGAAAACGCCAACAGGGTTCTGAATCGCCCTTCTAAGCACCTGCAGGTGGTGCAGGAGTCTGTGCCCACGCTGGCCTTCTCTGTACACATGCTGGCCTGCGCTTAGGGTGGAGCCAGGGCAGGATAACGCCAAGGGGACTACGTGAAGGTTACGCTGTTAACGCGGTCTCAGTGGCACAGTAATAACGCCCTAGCTCACGTCGGTGTAACCTAAAAGCACGTTAAGACATCCCACAATCGTTTCGTGGATACTCACCTCTGACGGGTCTCTACAGTCAAAGATCCACCCATTTACACAGATGCAGCATTTAAATAAATAGGACCAAGCCTGTAATTCCTCAGTGTTAAAATAAATCTTGAGAACAAACGGAACATTTAAAGCTGTTAAATATAGGTCCTACGGCTTATTAAAAAAACAAGAAAAAAAAAAGACTAAAAAAATCAACTTAAACCCCTTCAGTTAAGGCATCTGATGAATGTTACAGTGAATGTTTCTTAACTTGAAGAGCAGAATATAAAGGCTGTTTAAAGAGTTCCCTTTAATAGCAAATACAAAAAACCTGTGAGATCACATCTCTACAATTCCAGGTCTCTGAACAAGTCAAACTATAGCTACCAAACAGCTACTGTTGCTATAGCACCTACAGTGTCTAATGAAGGACATGGTAATAAATAACTGCAGATGCATCACGAGACACCCATTTATTTAATCACGGTAGCGGATCTTACTTCTACATTTTATTCTAAATTCTTTTTTTATTCTTCAGATTCTCCAGGCTTACGGATGTCATCAATCTTCAAAATCATTCTAACCACTTGTGTTGCAAGAGAGATCTGCTGCTTTTTGCCAATCAAGGTTTCTATGACGTGTTGTTGCTTCATATCTGAAAAACACATATAAATTACTATAAAACAGCATACATATTTATTACTAATACCTTGCTCCAATTTATGGAATTAGAGTAAAACTTAAGAAACACAAATTTGGAAGCCACTAGTCCCGGTTATATTTTCAGAAGAATATACTTCCACTGCTTCCCAGGACATTCTGGAATGTGAACCTGGTTTCCAGAGAGCTGTGGGGACAGGGCCTCCTCAACCACAGGCTGCGTTTCTCAGTGACCTGCCGAAGGGGGAATCGCTCAGCAACACCTCATCCCACAGCACACCCAATGCCGTCACTTACTGATAGTAAGCCCGATGTGACCGTGCCTGAAACGACAAGTGACTCCAACGAAGACCTGGGCATTCAAGTTAAAGGAACTGAAATATGTGTCTGACAAGGAGTTGCTGCTGTTACTCAACTCCTTGGGCTGTTAACCTAAAACCCAGAATATACCTACAGTTCTAAGTAAAAACAGAAGAAAACAAAACACAACACAACACCAAGGGCTTCCCTGGTGGTGCAGTGGTTGAGAGTCCGCCTGCCGATGCAGGGGACACGGGTTCGTGCCCCGGTCTGGGAAGATCTCACGTGCCACGGAGCGGCTGGGCCCATGAGCCACGGCCGCTGAGCCTGCGCGTCCGGAGCCTGTGCTCCGCAGCGGGAGAGGCCACAACAGTGAGAGGCCCGCATACCACAAAACAAACAAACAAAACCAAAACACCAACTGCTGGAGACTCTGTGGTCAGGACTAACTGCAGAACCCCAGAGACGGCCCCATCAGGAATCATTGGGAATCACCAGGACCACCGTTCCAACACGCTAAAGCTGCGCTACGTTTTCAGCAGATGAACTATGCGAGTGCTACAGAAGTTACAGTACCTCCCATTTATAAAACACCCTGGAATTTACGGGACACGACCATAGAATCAGCTGTAAACCGAAAAGTCAATTTCAGAGCTGTCTTATAGGTCATACAGAACCCACACCGACAGACATTTGTGTAAAAAAGGTAAGATGGAAATTATTTTCTAAAATGGAAGTCACCTTTGGAATAAATACCGCACTGCAGCTTTTTGTTATTAAAATTAGTTGTAGGTTGCTAAGACCAGCAGTCTAACAATTCCCAAGGTAATTAAATCAAATGTTCTAAAATTCAGGACCTGAATACCTGAAGTGTGTTTAAGTATTTAAAAAGACAGGATAACACGCAGCACGTAATGTTTCAAGTTAAGTCGAACCGCAGCCCCAGAGCGGTGATGGTGCCTCACCGTTTGTTCCCCTGTGCATACAGTCAATCCCGAGGGCAGGGTTCATCTCCTTCACTTGTTTGGCTCGGACTTCGGTCATAGTCTGGATGGGATTCATGCCGCTGTTTTCGGCAAGGGCCATGGGGATGACCTCCAGAGCGTCGGCGAAGGCTCTCATGGCGTACTGCTCCAAGGTCGGGCACTGGAAGGGCACACGGTTACGGTCAGCGTACTTGGCCAATGCCCCCCGCCAGCAGCTATTTGGAAACATAATTAAATCGCGTACCTTGAAAAACTAACTCATAAAGAATTCTAAGGACAGACCGTCCTATGAAAACGTCACTACAGGATAAGGATGGAGAAGGTACATGTGTGAGAAGTCGGAACAGGTCAGCCCTTCCTGCTGTGCCTGCAGGTACGACGTCTAATTCTGAATTTCAAGTAACATTAAGAGTGCAGAGATTTGCTGTTGAGGCTGCAAGGTCTGAAAAAGGCTGAGACACGCTGGTTTGTGGTAACCCGCACTCGAGTACACGGGCGCGAGAATCGACGCAGATCGGACGCCTGGGGTCTAGCATCCCCGCTGCAGTTTGTGACGGGTCTCACTCACCTTGTCGGCCTCCTGGCTGACGGCCAGAGCACAGGCTATTTCAGCAGCGCCTCCGCCGTACACCACGCGGTTGTCACGGATGAGGTTCCGGATGACACACAGAGCATCGTGAAGGGATCGTTTGGCTTCCTCGATGATCTGGGGAAAACAATTTTGCCTAAGTTAACGTGATCACAATCTAATCACTTTAGAGCCGAATACCGTGCACCTGGGGTTTAATCTAAGTGCTTGCTGGGTACTGGAAATATTCCTACCTTGTCCCCAGTAATATCCTTGGTTAAAAAGACTGGTGCCAGAAAGTTCTTTGCCAGATGGTTTCTATCTATTCTACTTTTCCTCCCTATAATGTAGTTAAAAAACCCCAAAATACAGGGCAGCCAGGGACTCATTCCAGGACCTATGCCCAAGTGAAGGGGGTCAAACAAAAACGACAAAGAAACACCCTTACAATGAGTCTTACTCATCTCGATGCACTAAAAACCCATTCCTGGTGAATGAAGAGCATGCCTATGGTTACCACTCAGGTTCCCCATTTATACCTATGAGACAGGAAAGGCAAGTGGGCCTCGTAGACCCAACAGTGGAACACGGTCTTCAGTATCTTACGTTGTGATATGTCCTTTTTTTCCCCGGCTGCACCGCACGGCTTGCAGGATCTTAGTTCCCTGACCAGGGACCGAACCCAGGCCCTGGCAGTGAATGTGCTGAGTCCTAACCACTGGACCGCCAGGGAATTCCTGACGTGTCCTTGCTTCTCTAAGGAAGATGCTGTCATCTTTCTTAAGGTAACTGTGTCTCAGTTAAGTACATTATGGGAAAAGCCAAATCACGTTCCAAATTCTGAAAAAATGTAGGACAAACAACTGTGTTCTCACCATCTTATTTCCTCCTCTGATGAAAATGGTGACGGCTCTGGAGTTCTTGCACTGCTCGATGACCAGCATCTTGTCTTTAGTGGTCCCGAATGAAATTTCCTTCACAAGACCTGCAAAGCCCAGCTTCTCGGCCGTGAGCTCTGAGAACCTCGGGACGATGCGGCCGCCCGTGGCAATGGCGATCAGCTGACCGGCAGGCCGGGGGAAAGGAAGACCAGGCTGGTGAGCGGGGACTCTCCGAATCGCACCACGGAGGAGCCACGCTTGACCCACGAGCGCCGTGTTCAGTAGAACCTCTGCCCCAGCCTGGCCCAGGTTTCAAAGTCTGCCCCGAAAGCCTGGCTCACTGAGCAAGGTTCCGAAGAGCTGGGTGTCCTGGTCAGGCTGCGGCGGCCCAGCGCCATGACCCCGTGCGCAGCCCTCAGCTCCCCACCCGTCCCCGCCACGAGCAGCCACGAGGCCACATGTGCCGGGCTACGGACCACGTCCACCGGGCTACGGACCACGTCCGCAATGGCTCTCAGTACTGATGGGGCTGACAGTGAGGTGGGCAGCCTGTGCTCCTGCCTCAGAGTGCCTACGAGACAGCCAGGGAGAGAGGGGAAAGCGTCTCCAAGTGCCGTGAAACATCAGAAACACATATAAAAATGGTGACAAAGACTCTAGCGTTCTCCTCTCCCCAGCGCACCCTCCTCTTATCTGTGGAGCCCTGGCAGTGTGCTGACTGCAGGCGAGCGAGGTCACTGCAGCCTCACGTACAGAAACGCACCGTAAGCTCAACCCATGTTCACAGTCTCTTCGCAGGGAGCCTCCTACCTCGATTTCAGGGCCTCCGACCCAACGAACCGCAGGCAGGTTATTCTGAAGAAGTAAATGATTTGCTTCGTCGTCAAAGCCCCACTGGCAAATGGCTAGGTTAGCGCCAGTTTCTTTAATCTGGGGAAAGAAATGCCGCAATCATGTTAATAAAAAGTAAGTACTCCTTGAGCTCTTCTGTTTGAAAAACAGTGAGAAACATAGCTAGGTGTGTAGGTGGGTGCATTAAAATAATGCACAGAAAAGAGAAGAAAAGAAATACCCAAATGTCTACCTTCTGTCATCTCTAAACTCTAAATATTGAACACGTATCAACGGGAATCACCTCATTTTTAAACAAAGCTTTAAACGTTAGCAATTCACGTGAATGCCACCGTTACAAGTGAAGCAACACGAGGCACGTCAACAAGGCCAAAACCCTGCCCCCCGGAAACCAAGGTCACAGCTCTGTGTTGCCACGAACACCTATGAAGCAGTTTATTCGTGTGTGTGTTTAACAAAAGTTGAATCTTGCGATACAATTTTCTGTAGCTTGCTTTTCGCACTTGAGTAGGCTATCCTCCGTGGAACAAGATACAGGCTAATTTACAGGCCGACAGAGGTGACCCTGATTCTAGCACTACCTTCCCCCGCCCCCAATGCCACAAACAGCTAAGTGGCTCGTCCCGGGACGGCGGCAGTGATCGGTACTGTCAATCCCTCTCCAGGCGGTAAGGACGGTAAGGACTATGCCGTGTCCCACAGCTGCCATTTCACTCCTGTCTCCACCCACCCACCTGGCTCTCCCCCTCCTCCCCCCTTCCCCGACCCTCTGGAAGCTTCCAGTGGCCCTCTGGAATTGAGCCCATCGCCAAACTCCTTCTTGGCAATGTTCCCTTTCCATTCTGGCTGTAAACGAACGCTGGCGTCCCCTGAAAAACCAACATGCCACGCCTCCTCCTCAAATGGCTGTTTTCCCTCCCACCTGCTCCAAACAGGAGGGGCCCTTGCCTCTCCCGACCACCCACAGCGTCCCTCTTTGGGTCACACTCTCATTCCTGACAGTGTTGGCATCCAGCCCCATCACCACTCCTGTTAGCATTCCTGGCAACCTGCACACCTATCGACACGGTCCACCTGACCCCCTTGGCATCTTGGTTCCTGTCCGCTTTTCCTGCAGGGCACCTTGGCCAGCACTCCCATGGCTACCCTAGATGGAGCCCAGGTAACAAGCTTTCATTTACAACCCTCTGCCAGCATACCCAACCCCTCAGCCTGCGGTTCCCAGCCTCAGGGCCTTTGCACATGCTGCCCACGCCCACCTCGCCGCAGCCTGGAACGCTCCTCACCCAGCCATGCGGCTCTCACTTCTCTGAGGTCTCTGCCCACAGGCCACGCCCCCAGAGGCCCTCTGACCAGCGTCTGTAACAGTCCCCCGACCCGCCTTCCCCCTATTCTGCACCCTAAGAGCAAGTGCTCTGCTTTGTTTACTGCGTATATCCAGTGCCCATGACAGCGTCTGGTATATACTAAGCAGAGAGATGTACCATGAAAGCATAAATGAACGCAACTATTCCCCCCTCCCCTCAAAAACACTGGAACAGGTTCTAGTTTGTTTGCTATGATAATGTTTCAATAGAGACCCATGTTCATGCATCCCTGAGTGCTGGTGTTTAAAACTCCCAAGGACAGAGTCCCCAAAAGAGGAAACCGTTTCGTCGGAGAGCAGGCACGTGTAAAACGTTAATAGCCAGAGAGAAAGTTAAGTATTTATAAAATAACACTCTTGACTTGTTGAAGCAATGAACTGGGATGACTATGACTGCATTCTGGTTTGATTTCGGTTACTCAGCAACTCTTTTGTCTGAAAGTTATACTTGGAAGTCTCAAACATGTGGTAAGCCACACTACAACTGTTCAAACCTGGCACACACTAGCTCAGATGTGCCCAGGAGAATAAGCACATAAAATCAAAAGTGCAGCTCCAAATACACAGGCCGAGTCGTTCATGCGCCCCAGACACATTACCATTTTAAGACTTGCCCCCTTATGCCGTCCTGTGCCATTTGATTTTTTTTCTCACTGTGAATGTTTATCCATTTGATAATTTAAAAGTAAAGGAGGGGCTTCCCTGGTGGCACAGTGGTTAAGAATCCGCCTGCTAATGCAGAGGACACGGGTTCGAGTCCTGGTCCAGGAAGATCCCACATGCCGCGGAGCCACTAAGCCCGTGTGCCACAACTACTGAGCCTGCGCTCTAGAGCCCGCGAGCCACAACTACTGAAGCCCGTGAGCGTACAGCCCGTGTTCCACAACAAAAGAAGCCACCGCAATGAGTCGCCCCCGCTCGCCGCAACTAGAGAAAAGCCCGCGCAAAGCAACGAAGACCCAACGCAGCCAAAGATAAATAAGTTTATATATACAAAAAATAAGATTTAAAGAAAAAATAAAGGAAGGAAGCCTATACCTTTAATACCTTATTTGTAGCCACACAAAGTAGCAAGATTAACACAGATCAGCACCACATGTATTCACTACCTGGGGCTAACTAACTGCATCCTTTCAAAGTTTTAAATTTCACCAAGAGCTACGGTAAGACTTACCTGCCGAATCATCTCCTCAAACTTCTCCTTCTCATATTTCTGAAGGGCTTTAAAATCTTCTACAGACGTCACATCCAGCTTATGCTTCGTCTTTGGTTTCGGCGGTTCAAACGGACATGTTAGGATGGCAATCTTAGCATCTTCCACTTGCTACAGTGAGAGACAGAAACGTTATGAACAAACCAGTGGGCTAAGGAGGGAAAAGCCTGAAGCTGCAGAAGGCGCTGACTCACTTTGGGCATCTGCGGGTGACTGAAATCCTTGTCCACGATCACGCCCTTGATCAGTTTGGTGTCCTCCAGCCTCCCGCCCACTTTGCCTTCTACTTTGATGAGCTCGAAGTCAACGTCTCTGCGCTGCATGTCGGCCACAGTGAGGACGGCGTTCACGGCAATCTCGGCCATTTGTCGGTGACAGCTGTTAACCCTGAAACACACGAAACAAACCTTTCACGTTCACTGAACAGTGACTGCAACCAGAGCACAACACGTGATGTGGTAACTCATGACACAACATACTGTGACCCACAGATACTGTACAAAAAGAATGCCACCACGACCTTCACTTTCAACCATCTGGAGCAGGGATTCTTAACCTGGGATGCAGGGACCCCCAAAGGGAATCATAACCTGGGATGGGAAAATAATTCCATCTTTATTTTCACTAACAATAACTGAAATTTACTATTTCCTTCCATTATGAATATACGTAAGGTAAGAGACCACTGAAGTATGGCAAGAACCAAAAATTTACCAAGACTGCCACTTTTTAATACTATTAACATCCTGAAGTCCAAAACAGAATGGGAGAGCGATGAAACCACCAAGGAGAAGCCAATCTCATCCACAGGAGGTGCAGCACTTAATGAGAAAGGCCTGACCATATCAGTTACAGAGGGGGGACGTTATCTTTTCTGAAAGTTTTGAAACATCGGAAAAGACTGCTCAGTAATTTTAATTTGATTCTGGAGAAACCACAAGGGAACTCTAGTACTTGAAATACAGTGCCTGAAATCTTAGGTCACCTAGAACAGATAACCATGAAACTAAAAATACCGTGTGACCTAAGTAACTGATATACAACGTTTTGCTTTATGTTGAGGATACCTGGCCCTCGTTATCCATTTGGACATTTTCTATAGTAAAGACCTACACATACTGGGGTTTTATAAAGACTTGCAAATAAAGCAGGGTCAACTTAGAAAGCAATAATAACACACGATTTGTGCACTTCAAGAAAGGGTAATGCCTGCTTTCCAGGAGAAAAACAATGCTGTACTTGTGACAGAGGCCACCCTGGGTAGTCACCCTTGCCCCGGAGCTGTCTCAGCTCAGACCTGCAACAAGGGGACAGCCGGCATCACCGAAGACTTCTTTGCTTTAACACAGTGCTGCAGTGGATGCCTTTCCCCGAAGGCAGAAAGCAGCAGACATTTTTGTAGTACTTCCCCTGACCTCTAAGTTGAGACCATGTCTTCCTTCTTGGTACAAATTAAAAAATTTCTCAAATTGATATGGATAAGAAAAACAGCGTAATAAGGCACCTTACACTGGATTTTTATGCTACATTTTTACAAGAGCCCACGAGTCTCTACCGTTGTTCAAAGTAAGTGTGTCCTGGGGCTGACGCTGCTTTGAGTCTCTGGGGCAACGACTGTGTCTTGAGTCCCCAAGACTTGGCAGCAGGCCTGGCACAGTCAGTACTATGTAAATGTTCCAAACGTAAGTCACTTTCAGCTTAAGTCAAACTTCAAGACTGCCCCTTCATACTAAATCAAAATTCTGGATCATTAACTTGCTTGTTGAATGAATAAAAGCAGAACTTTCCCACTAAAAGGCTTCCTAGCAAAGAAATGGTAGAAAGAAGTGCTATGAAAAATTAATACATCCCACTAGTAGGACCTTTTGCTAACCCGTCCTATCCTGCCAAATTAAAGAACTCTATAGTTTCCAAATACTGTCAAGAGGCCTTAATAACCAAACCTGGAAATTCAGCTTCCAACTAAAACACAAAATGCCCGTCTACATTTGCAGTAAAGACAGAGTAAACCAAAATAACAACACAAACCGAAAGCAGCTCATTAAATCAACAGGAAACCATCAATGATAATTCTCAGTTGCCTTTCTGAACAAGCACACAAACTCTGCCCACTCTGTGAACGCGCCCGGCAACACTGTACTGTACACGCACACTTTGGAGCCCAGCGTGGTCTTCGCGGTCTGGATCAGGGGCTCGGTGTCCTTCGTGTCGACGAGGACACTATCGCTGATCCTGTCCAGGTACTCGATAGCGATGCGGGCGGCCTGCTCGTAGCCATCGGCGATCCTGATGGGGTGAATGCCACGGTCCAGCAGCTGCTCAGCCTCTTCCAACAGGGCACCAGCCAGGACTGAGAATGAGACAGCACACACCTGGCTCAGGAAATCGCTAAAACTCAAAACAAATTAGATGCTGCCGCTGGAAATGTGAAGGTTCCAGAATTAAGCTGGAAGCATCTTAGAGGCCGAGGCCATCTAATCTAATTCTGCTTCGGTTCTAACCTGTATGTTCAATTCTTGGTGATATACAGAATGTAAAGAACATAAATCGCAAACATTTTTATAAAGGGGAAAAAACTTATGTATCCTGGCCCAGGGATTTCTGTTCAGGGACATTTATGTTGGTGATAAAAGGATTACAAAATTTGTTTATTATCCTCCCCCCAACCTTGCCTTTCCCTCTCACTTCAGCATCACAAAGATGAGGAGTTTGTTTTAATGCTGCTGTATTCCAAGCACATCCAGAACAGTGCTTGGTACCCAATGAATATTTGAAATATTTGCTGAATAAATTAATTCAAATTTCAGATACAGAAAAAGTAACATTAAAGATATTCATCTTATCAATCCTCCCAGACTTTTAAAAAATTCAAACCTTCAGAAAAAATTTCATGACAGTAAAATGAACACTAGTTCACTCATTAATAACATTTTGCTGCATTTGTTTTCTCTACAGATGTGTGCCTTTTCTTTTCAACTATGTGAAAATTAGTTGCAGAAATCAGACATGTAACCCCTAAATACTTCAACACAGCTCCTAAGGAAAAGGTCATTCTCCTGCATCTCTGTAACACAACTGTCATATTCAGGAACCTTAACATCGATAAGATACTACTCTAATACATGACTCACAAATGACCCCATATGTCCCAAACATTCTTCACAGCTAGGAAAAACAAACAAACCAGGCATCCAACCAAGTTTTACACATTACAGCTGGCTGTCATTTCTCTTTAGCTCCTTTAATCTAGAATAATTGCCTAACTCTACTCCCCACCCCTTTCTTGTTCTTTTATGACAGTGACAGTTTTGAAGAGTCTGGGCCACTTGTCTTGTATCGTGTCCATTTGGATTTGTCCGACTGCCTCCTCATGATTTAATTCAGAATAAACATTCTCAGCAGGCGTGTTAGGCCTGTAATATTAAATAACACCTCTTAAATGAGAAAGGACATTTTGCCTTTTCTTACCAACCACTCCTGTGGTTCCATCTCCAATTTCATCATCCTGTGATTTGGACAGTTCGACCATCAGCTTGGCGATCTGATGATCGACATCCATCATGCTTAAGATGGTGGCACCGTCATTAGTTACGGTCACGTCGCCATCCTTATCCACCATCATCTTATCGAGCCCTAAAAGACACCAATGTTTAAAATGGCTTTGACCTCTTGACCCAGTTCCTATCTAGGAATTTATTATAAATAAATAATTCAACATACATAAAGGAATATCTCCATGGAGACCTTTCTAGATTGGCTAATCTAAAGCAAAACACTGGAAACAATTTAAAATGGCCAAAACTAGAGAAATGGCAAAAAAATTATGCAGCATCACAAAATGTAACAGTCATCACAAAATATAATGTCACAAAAGACAACAGCTATGATTTAGAAAATGCTAATGGTAATTATGTTAAGTGGATAGAACACCTAATCTAAAATTGTATGCACATTATGACTGTAACCGTGTTTAAGGTCTGGAATACACCAAAAACGTTTGGCCACATTAGGGGAGAGGATGCCTCCCTTCATTTCCTAACTTTCGGCAAAGATACCGTATTGACTATTTATGATTTATGACTTTTGTTAAAAAACAGAGAATGTTAGTCTCTTACCATTTGGTCCAAGTGATGTTTTCATTGTATTTGCTACAGCCTTTGCTGCCATTATATGAGACTAAATGAAACAGAAACAGCCAATATTCAAGTTACATATAATTTTAAGAGTTAAGAACATAGAGCTGATGGTTATAAAAATCACTTATGACATATTTTCCATTCTCTAGAAGTAGCAGCAGACAGGTCCATATCTAACGGTGACCACTTCCCAACTGCTAGTGTTAGAAGACAATTCTTATGTAAAAGAACAGAACTAAGTGCTCTGTGTTCTCTCTTTAATCCTCAACACATCTATGAGGCAGGTTCTACGGGCCCATTTTACAGCCCAGAGCATAGACAGTCTGACCTGACAGGCCTTGCAAGAGCACTGTGCAATGCTAACGTCACGTGAAGAGTCTGGCCGTCAACACACAGCACCTTGAACTGTCGCACTACGGTTCACTGCACACTCCTCTCTCAGGTGGTCCAGCCAGTACACAACCCACAAGGTGGTCAATGCTGAAAATAACAGCAGCCTGAATGCATCCTTTCCTCCTTCCACACGATTACACTCATTTGTCTGGTTCCCTGTCTTCCTATTCCTGCCGTCACCGACCTAACCCTGATCCATCGCACCTTACAGATTTCCTGGTCTCTTACCTCACCACCGATCCTTCGGATTCATCCTCCATCCAGCTAAGCTATCCATTTCTCTCAAACATGTTACTTTCCAGTCCCCAGTCCTTAAATGACTCCCCAGCACCTCAACTCTCACGTCTGAAAGCTCCAGCTGCTCTTCAAAGCCCTCCACAGTCTGAGACCCCGCCCCCTTCCAGTGAGGACCTGTGCCTGCGACCCAACAGGTCCTCTGGTCGCTGAAGCACCGATGCACAGAAAACCCTCCGCCTGTCAAAATCCTGACCAAGTCTCCAAGCAGTTCAAGCGCGCACGTGCCGTGAAGCCTACCCCTGTCACCCCATCTAACAGGTAACAAAACACACAAAGTTCACCAGGTTTGTGAAAATACTGGTAATCCTCAAAATACACCTTGACTGATAGGTCTGCACAATGGAATTTTTATAGGCCAATAACCACAGGGGCGTGGCATATATATTCTTAACCAGGGGTGATACTGCCCACCAGGAGATATTTGGCAATGCCCGGAGACACCTCTGGTTGCCACAGTCAGGGAGGGGACCACAGTGGGTAGAGGCGTAAACATCCTGAACAGGACAGAGCCCACAACGGAGAAGGATTCAGCCCCAAATATCAACAGCGCAGAGGCTGAGAAGTGGGCTTTAGACCACCGGCTGCGGAGTCACACAGAGGTGGGCCTGAACCGTGATCCTGTTCTTTACTAGCTCTGGGACCTCAAGCAATCCCTTAACTGCTGTGGGGTCAAGTTTCCTATTCCATAAAATAGTACCTGTCTCAGAGTGCGAGAACTACACGAGGTGTGGCAGGTCCAAAATAACCTGGACCTTCTGTTATACTGGTATTTTGGGTGCATGTACTTGGCTGTTACTTTCTCTGAAGTGAAAAATGGAATTGAATGCGTAACACAGGTGGTGTGAGCATCTACCACATACCAAGACTGGGCGGCCACTCCTTACGTTACCCCGTTTAACTCTGGTCCTCAGCTCGACGGGGGTGTATTGCCCCCACTGGGTTGTGTAACTTGTCCTAAGTCAAACAAACAGCCCGGAGTAGAACTGTACTGCTTCTTAATTTAGTAAAACCCCAAAAAACTAAGCAAACAGGGACACCTCTGACCTGGTGACACGGTCCATACACAGCAACGTCATGGATTCCATCCTAAATGCTACCTCCCCAAGTTTAGTTCTACTTAAATTGTGATTCTGTTCAAATCCCCTTCAATGGCTCCCCTCCCATCCCTCAGGATAACATCTCGATTGCGGGGCATGCAAGAACTTCCACTTTTCGGAGCCACTGTAACTTAAAGTAGACTGTGCTGTTAAAACCGAAGTGCTGTCTTCTACAAGATGCCATGCGTTCTCTTGCCCCGGTCCTTGCGTTCGCTGTTTCCTCTTCCTGGAAGCTAGCTCTTTCCCATTCAAAACATAACTCCATCCCTGATCAAAAGCCAATCAATCCTCTCTCCAACGCCTGAAGGACACCCTCCAACTTTTACCTGCCACCCCTCCCAAAACTGGTGATTTTGGTCGCACACAATCTTGTATTATGGTTATTGGTGACAACTTTTCACTCCTGCAGTATTATGGTTATTGGTGACAACTTTTCACTCCTGTAGCTCGTTTGTAAATTTTTACGACCCCATGTCCTGGAATACGCCATGCATAGACGGACTCAAAAATGAAATACGCTGTAAATGACTGAGCCTTTAGGAAGCGACAAAGAAAATGAAACTCATTTCCTTTGGGGCTGTTGTAGGGACACCGCCTGAAGGCTAAGAATCAGAGTCCTAACCGGTCAGGTGACCTGAGAATACCTCCGCTGCATCCTACTGCTGAAAACGCTGCTCGGAAGGACTGCAGGCTGGAGAAACCAGCGGGGACGCGCCTTCAACGCCTGTGAATCCAAGCCACCCCACCCAACTCTGAAGGGCGCCTGCGGGCCTCTTTAACCGCCAAATGGGACTAAGGGCTTATACGTTGGCCTTTCCCGGGCCCGAGGCGTGGACCGCAGGACTGGAGACCAGAGGGGCTCCCTCGAACCTTCCCCGGGAGCACGTGGCAGAACCGCTGTGAAGCGGCGCAGGCGCAGAGCCACTGGCTTCGGCCGCGTCCTCTCATCCCACCGCCAGTGCGTCCCCGTCCCGTTACCTTGAGGGCCTCAAGTCCCATAAGACGAGACTTGCGGTCCTGATCCTTAATGATGAGGAAAGGTCGGCCATATTCATCGAAGGCGAGGGTCCCCACAGACGCCATGATGCAGCCACTCCAGTTACTCTCCCGCAACCGGCGGAAACTACCGCGGAAGCAAGAACACACTCTGCTCTCGCGGGCGGGCGCAAAAGCTCGCGCATGCGCAGTATGGGCCGCTGAGACTTATTTCTTACTAGAGACTAGTTTAACGCCGGACAGTACCTTCTGGAATCAGCGGCCTTCGGAAACTTCTATCATCCAGGAAGCTGTGGGGGGAAGTTGGAAGACACGGACGGGAACTTGAGAACCCACAAGCCAGGAGTAGATAGAAGTTCAACATTTATTAAATCTATAAAATTGACTATTTCTTGACAGTGGTTCCCAACGAGGAGCTCATTTACTTAGAGCATTATATTCTCCCTCCTTCCCACCCCGGCTCCGAGGAGATGGTAGAGTCCACTTCCTGTTTTTAAAACTACTGGGGATCTCGCGATGGAAGAAGGAGGTGAGCGCGGCCGGGCGTGATGGTGTGTTCCGGGCGCGGGCGGGGGCGCGGCGTGGGCCTCCTGGGCGTGGTGGTCAGTCAGGCGGGATGTCAGCGATGCAGCAGGTCCGTGTCGGCGCGGCGGGACTGGGAGCTGCGGGGCCGCTGCTCGGGCTCGAGGTCTGGGGTTCGGTGCTGAGTGCTTGTACCTGCGGCGGTCCTGGTATCTGGCCACCGGGAACTGTTCTCAGCGCTTCAGAGCGAATAACTCACTTAATCCGGAACGGTTTTCTGAGATGTGGGCACTGGAGTCACACTGTCCGGGTGGGGATCACAGCTCTGCCACTTACTAGCTGTGTCTTTGGAGAAGTGACTTGTCTGCAAAAATGGCAATAGTAACAGTAGCATCTCTGTTTACGGCTGCTTTACGGATTCAGGGAGAACAGTGCCTGGTCCCTAGCAAGCTCTGTTTGTTTGTATTATGTGTTTGTTAAAGAGATTTGTTTGTATTTGTGTTTGTTAAAGAGATCGCCGTTTTGCACGAATACTCCAGTAACTTGCCCAGAGTTACCCAGCTAGTAAGAAGCAAAATGGCCTGGCCTTGCGCTAAGAGTCCCACTCTGAAGCCCTGTGTTGTGCTGCCTCTGAAAGATCTTTTCCTGGCAACCCTATCTAAGTAATACCCGGTCCTCTGAATCCCCTCTGCTGCTTTTTCTTCGGAGTGCTGATCACGACGTAATACTTTCTAGGCTTAGACTTATTTATTATGGGTTTCAAGTCTCCCTGCACTCTAGCTGCTGTAGAATAGGGACTTACCCTGCTGTATTATTCCTAGCTTTTATCGGCTGCTCAGATGTTGAAATGAATGCGTGGGTTATAACATTTAACTGTGGCCTGAAAGTTAAGAACTGGCTTTGTCACTGGATGGTTGCTGGTGGGCATTTAACCTCTCCTGTTGCTTGGCCCACTTCAGTGGTGCTCCGAGGACATTTTGGCTCTGGTCTCAATTCACTTTGGCTTGGCCAAGTCAGCGTTTCCTCATTCACGGTGATGAATCCTGTAATCCATTTGGTTCATAAGATTGTCCTGAAGTATAGGAAATGTCTAAGGATGTCCCCTATGCAGTTTATTTCCTGTCAAAACATGGAAAAAAAGTTTTTTTTCTAATGTCAATACATTCTCTATTTCAAAAAGACACAAATGACGTTAGACCAGTACAAGAAAGGCTTCTTAAGGGACAAAATAATATACGTTAAAGGGACATAAAATATATGCTGTAGTTTTTCAGCCTGTATGTATATGCAAGTACACGGTGAACAGCCCTAAAATATTGTGACGTTCAAATATAAACCCCACTTTAAACAAACGGCAGGTCCCAATCCCCAAAAGGCCTGTCCTTTCTTCCTGGCCTTTTTCCTTTGGCTTGAACTTGGATAAGAACCCTGTACCTTTTTGTGCCTCTGTCACTGCCACTAGCTTTGGCTGACCCAGATCTGTCACTGCAAATTGAGATTTTCAACCATCATCAGAAGTCAGTAACTAGGCAAGGCTGGAGACAACAGAAGTTCACTTTTTTGGGTCATTTACTTTGAACAACTGGCTCCCTCCAAGTGCTCAAAAATAGCCAATGGTCCCCACAGCTCTCATGTAAAGGAATGTTGCCATGTTCAAAAGAGCACATGTGACAGAAATCTTATGTCATTTATATGACAGTAAGACTGAATCTAACATGTTCCATCCAGAGGATTAGACATTTGTAGAAGCAGTCTTGATTTTAGCTTTGAATCTTTAAGGATTGGCTTTCACTGATAAAAATCAGTACATTTTTTACTGAACGGACATAGCAATATTTTGGATGTATACATTGGATTTACATAGTAACTTCTTCAAAAGCTCATGCAAGTTTTTGTGACGTTGAAAGACTTTTGCAGGTCTAAAAACTTGACACAGAAGATTGAGTGATTTCATCAAGGGGTACACTGCTGCCAGTGTTGACTTTCTAAAAAACACAAATACTGTAGTGCTTTTGCACAGAAAGTTTCATCCCAGTGCATAAGAATAAAGTACATGTTTAACCTGGTGTGCAAGGGCTCCCCCATCCTTCCTGTTTTATCTCCCACCCCGTGCTCATCAAACTGCTCCCCCGCCTTCCATGCCTTGGTTCCAAGGTGTCCATCCTTCTTTTGAGAATGTCCCTTTTCTAATACAGGCATCCTTTGCTTTTTGAAAATGAACTTTACACCACTTTGCTTTTGTGAAAAACCTACATTAGCCCCTGTTTTCCCAAACTGAAAGGAGTCCAAAGAAGGTTTTTGCTTTCATGACAAAGGGGGAAAAGGGAACACAGCGTGCTGACTTAGTTTTGCAGGGAGCTGTCCCGGAGGCAGTGTGCACCCCGGCAGCGGGAGCAGCCCCGCCAGGCTCCTTCCCCAGAAACCACACTCAGCATCCAGCCGCCACAGCCCTGAACTGTGTCTGGGAGCATCCGTGCTTCACCTAGATTTCTTTTGCTTTAAGCCGTTTGGCTTACGAAAGATTTCATGGAAACACTCTGCTTTTGGACAGTGGGGGAAACCTGTACCCTCACGCCCTGCTCAGATTCTGTTTCTGCCGACACCTTCCCGGTTCCATCATTGGGATCAGTCTTTCCTCCACCTCCTGTCGTATTCCCATGGCGTTTGGTACACGTTAGAGCATCTGTCACAACCTGCCTTGTAACTGTCTCCACTGGGCCCCCATCACTCACTCAGGCTAATGGGGGCCCTGAAGACCAGGAGTTCATCACATCTTTTGCTGATTAAGTTGAAGGGCCCATGTGTACACAGGTGAAACCATTTGGGTCATCTGACTTGTGTTGGTCTAATCAACTCCCTATTGGCTTATGCTGACTAGAGAAACAGTCCATCAACAGACAAGTGGATAAACAAAATGTGGGCTATCTATACAGTGGGATATTAAATATTTGGCCATAAGAAGGAATAAAATGCTGATACATAGTACAACATGGATGAATCTTGAGAACATTATGCTAGGTGAAAAGTCACTCACAGAAACCACATACTGTATGATTTCACTCATGCAAGTCTGCTTTCTTTAGAGACAGAAGGCAGATTTGTGGCTGCTTAGGGCCAGAGGGGCAGGGGGGAGGATGGGGGGTGATGGCTAAAAGCATAAGGGGTTCCTTCTGGAAGTAATGAAGAAGTTCTGAATTTAACTATGGTGATGGTTACACATATCTGAATCTACTAAGAACCTTTGAATTGTACACATCAGATGGGCAAATTGTATGATATATGAATTACATCTCAATAAAGCTGTTAAAAATTATTGAGCCCCCCGTGATAGTATTGAGAGTAATAATAATAGTGGCCAGTAGTCATCACTTTCTCTCTCGGGCTGTGCTAAGGGCTTTATATGCATTGTTTATTTAACTGACCCAATAACTCTGTAAGGATAGTATTATTTTAGAATGTTACAGGCAAGGAAACTGAGCCTTAGCAACAACTAGTGCCAGACAACCTGTTCAGTTCTGAGACTCCAGAGTTGTGTGGCTGGAATCTTCCTAACCACTGTCCTCTACAGTTGGAATGCCTGCAGGAGGATTTTACACAAGGCAGGACACATGTGCCTTGACTTAAAAAAAAAAAAATCACATGCACTTCTATTAGCATGTGAGTTCCTCCATTCAATGCTGAAAAGTATAAATGAGAATGTATTTAACACTCTTGCTTTCTATCAAACACAATCACTTTCCTAAACTTTACTTTTACTTTACTTCCATCGCCTGCATCAGCAATAGACTTTTGTTGTTGTGTCTGAACTGGTTTTCCTCCGTGACACTAGTTGTAAAACTCACTTCAGGGCACCTCGGGCAGCAACAACAAAGCTGCAACAAAGATGCTGAGGTGGGTCAGCTCCTCCCCCCATCCCCCCAAGCAGTGACTCACAGCCGTGGGCCAGCTTCTGGTGTGTCCTGTGTTCACATTTGGACCTCACCACAGCTGTGACAGATGACCACATCTCATGGGTATGGTAGGCGGAAATAGGTCCATGTTTGAATCCCCGGACCCTGCGAGGCCGCTACCTGGGGAGCAACTTGGCAGATGTGGTTAAGTTAAGGACCTTGATGTGGGGGAATTATCCTGGCTTGTCTGGGTGGGCCAGTGTGCTCACAAGGGGAGGATCCCTTTCCTATAAAGGAAAGGGGGGCAGGGCGGTCAGAGGAGGTGTCGCGATGGATGCAGAGGTTGAGCGATGTGGGACCGGTGGCCGAGGAATGCGGGTGGCCCATCCTACCCTAGAGCTTCCAGAAGGAACACAGCACAGCCAGCCTATTTCAGACATCTGACCTCCAGCACTGTACGTTAATAAATGCATGTTTTTATTTATTTTTTCACACACACACACACACACACACACACTGTATTTTATTTTTACAGGAGATAAATAGACTGACACCAAGCATTGTAAATGGATGACCACGACAAAAGCAACAATGATTGCAATTACCAAACACGAAACACACTCACACTGTGTCATAATATTGACATTCATTCCAGGAATCCTCCACTGTAACAGCTCCTTCACTTTGCAGTGAAAATTGATTTATATATTTGTTGCCTCTCAGTCCTTGTGGGATTTTTTTTTTTAAATTCAAACAGAAAGTCACAAAAATTATAATCATCCGCATCAGCTATGCGTGTTGTTTTAACCCACCAACTTTGTGGTTATTTCTTACAGCAGCAGCAGGAGACTAACCCAGTGGGCCTTTTGTATGGCTTACTAACGCCAAAACTATGAACACTACTGCCTTCGATGGATAAGACTCTGTTGTCGCCCCTCCTCTCACTCTCCTTTTTCCTGCAGATTCCTGTGGTTTTGGTCTTAGCGCCTCAGTGAGATCGAGAGCTGGTTCAGGGCAGCGATGGGCTTGTTCCCTGTGGGGTTCAGGTGCTGCGCGCTGTTCTGAGTGCTCTTCCTGTATCCC